AACGTTTTGCTAGATCAACCACAAAAAATAAATCCAATCTTGCTTCATTGCCACCAACGAAGCCAGAACATTGCCACCATATCATTAAGTCTAGAAATGGTATGGAATCGAGAAAAAAATCTGAAAATTGGGGCTGAAAACTGGGCAGCAATGGGCTTGTTCCACTCACCATGACAAAACAAACAGCACCCGACGACTTATTGCAATTCATTTCATGCACTTCTAGAAAAGGATGAGGCGCAGCATGTGGCTGCAGGAAAACTGGGTTGGTGTTCCGTTGTATGTGGCTTCTGCAGTGGTCAGTCATGCGAAAATGTCCCGGAGGTTTACATCGACATTGAGGACGAAGATGACCAAGACTTAACAATGGAAGAGCAATATATTCCTATAAGCTCCGATTACGATGACACCGAAGACAATACTCAAAACGTTATTAATAACCAACCCGGACCATCAAAGAAAAGAAAACGCTAATAAATCGCAATTGCACTACCATATTTTTCAGTTTTTTCTATGTTGTGCGTTATATTTCAATGAGACATATATGAAGGTTATAACATATTTTTTTCGCTCCGTGGCACCGTGGCACTACATCACCAGCCGCTGCTGTTTATACCTATATAAAAAATAGCGAGAATTTCGGAAAAATTACAAAATTGGGGAGTTTTTCTATTTTTTTTTTGGAAAATATGTGCAACTTTTCGTCACTGTAACCTTCTATCCAAGATGGCGGCTCGAGCGGTCCCACCCCAAAGTTGAAAACTTGGATTTTTTGTCAAGACCCAAATCTTAACGACATATAAAAAAATTACTACTACACCACATACTACTACACCATTTTTGTATGGCAAAACGCCCCACTGACTGGACTATTATATTTTTCACCCCTTCTCGGGGTGAATTTAAAAAAAGTCTTAATTGAAATTTATAATTTTCCAAACAAATTCAATAAAAATGATGAATATATAATTTTTTCAGCAACTTATATTTTTTAACTTCTACTATCATCCTCTAGATTCTAGCCACCCTATCTCGGTTAGTTTTGATCTGTGCAAAAAAAGCATAGAGACCATTTCTTTGTATAATTTGACGCTCCACAACTTTTATTTGAACTTTTTGTTCTAGTTCTTACCGTTTCTCCGAAATTTCAAAAACTAATTTTATTTAATTATTACACCCCTTCTCGGAGGTGAACACTTGAAGAAAATTATAATAAATCGAAAACAATGAAGACTTTAACTCCTTGTAGCTACGAAACAAAGCAGAATCGAACCGTTGTTGATATACAAAATATATCTTATTTTGGACGTGAGGAATCTCCCCAAGAGAGATGTTTTTTGAAGCATCTTGTATATATACAGTGTGTCCCAGGAATAAGTACAGATAGTTTAACTAGTAATATATTTCGACCCCAGAAACACGTTTATGATTCCTTGTGCGTGAAAAAACAATTTGAAAACTTTAAATTGGATTTAGTTAGTTAAAAAACATTATTTCTTGATAATATGGCAACAGAGGTAATAAATTAAATTTGCAAGAAAGAAAACACCAGTGGAAACGATCCAGTAGTTCTTAAAATTTTAGCAAAAAACTTTTAAGTATAATAACTCGGTTATTTTTGACTTTTTGAAAAACAGTAAAGAGAAACTATGTTTCTTTTATCGAGATCTACGAGCCCTGAAAATATTTGCACTTATTTAAGACTCAGCCTGTATACAAGGTGGTCCGAACTGTATTCCGGAAACTTCGGCAATATATTCTAGTGATAAAAATAAGTAAAAAAGTTCATATAAAAGTATATCCTAAAATGCTTAGGTTTTAAGATGCAAAGTGTAGAAGTTTCATTTTTATTTTGATTTTTTTCAAATAATTTCTGAAGTAACGTCAATATTTTAATGAATATTAGTGTCTTTTCACATGAGAAATTTGATTTGGTTTGGTTGGCTACATGTTTTTTTAATTGTTATGAAGAGTAATAACTTTTCGTCCGTGCCTGTATAAAACTACTGGTTGAAAAAATATACATTACTGTGATTTTTTACGTAAAAAATGTCTCTTGGTAAAAATCGCTAGGAGCAACCGTTCTCAAGATATTTAGAATGGAAATAGTCAATACATGTCATTATTGACAAAAATACATGTTGAGTAGATAATTATTTGCCTGAAATGATAAACTTGGAAACTTTTTAGTTTTTTTTAAATTAATCATATTTTTTTTTTGGAAAAAATGATGATAAAACAGTTTTTGTTGAACTTTTTGACACAAAATCATTTCAAATTTATGATTTCAGATTAATAACTATTTAAGTACACTGCGTCTGTCCGTCCTGTAGCTACGGGGTATCCGCGAGAGGGGAAACGATATTCTCTCGATGTTTTTCGTAAAAAATTAGAGGACGCGTCCCATCAATAAAAATTCGACAAATTTGCAAGTAGCCAATAAAATGAGTGGGCGGAGCGATTTGCGGTGACGTACTCGTCAAGTCGACGTATAAAATATATTGCTGTTTATTTAAATGTTTTTTGTCCGCATTCCTTTCATAGACACAGATCCAGCAGAGGCACTTTAATCATGTTTAATTTATGTCAATTACAAGAATTATTGATAATTTAGATTCCAAATATCTCGAGAACCATTACTCGTAGCGATTTTAACAAAGATACACCTTTTAAAGTAAATGTATATTTTTTCACCCTGTAGTTTTATACAGGTACGGATGAAAAGTTATTACTCTTAATAAAATTGAAATAAAATGAAACTTCTACACCCTGTATCTCCGAAACTAAGCATTTTAGGACATACATTTATACGAACTTTTTTGCATATTTTTATCTGCAGAATATGCTAGTGAAGTTTTCGGAATGCAATTCGGATTACCCTGTATATGTATTTATAGTCCTTTTTTTTAGTCAGTCTATAAAACTAGAGTACCTAGAGATTTTAATGTAAACGATAAAACATGAAAGCTGATGGACAAATGTCATTTTATAAGGCATACTTACTACTGCACCATATAAAATTTTACGAAGGATCCGGTTGTAAAATAAAATTCTATTAGGAAAGCCATTATATGCAAATGTGCTTTATATAGTTAATAAAAAACATGACTGCGTCGCCCAGCAGGAAGCGTATATTTTTTGTTATATGCCGTATAACAGCGTGCAATTAATAGCCTCATTTTATATAATGAGTTTACATAATGAGTAATACATTTAATATAAAATACTAAACTAAGCAGATATTAATTCAGATAGTATAAACGAGCAAAAACTTTTTGTAATGTACCAAGTAGGTATTTCAACAAGCCTTCTTGATTTTCTGTGTTCTAATTTAATTATGACAAATTAGATGCTGATATGCGTTGGTTAAATATAATTAAGTTTTGAAAAGAACTTTAAGAATTTATGTTAAAAGACAGACCGTAAAAGAATAGAGTGAATACGACAAAAGACCCAGGTAATAGATGCCATCCACAAAGTCAAATTCCTCAAGTGGCAATTGACAGGACACCTGGAAAGAAGGACAGACAACAGATGGACAACAAAAATTACAGCATGGTACCTACTAGAAATCTACTACTACTGCCATTACTCGCTGACGAGTATTCGACACACATCAAAAGATGGTCACGCAAGGCGTTTTCTTTGATGAGCTTTTCTGTGACTGAAAAGCCCGATACGTGATGTTATCTGCCTACCGTACTCTGGACATTAAGTTCTATTATGAGCTGCTTCTTCCCACACATTCTGCATTTTGATCCCCTTTAAGTTTTTGTGGAAAATGTTCTAGTACATTTTCAGTTGTCTACCCGGCCTCCTCTTACCGTCAACAAGCTCACCGTAAAGCAGAGATTTTGGTATGCGGTTTTCTTGCATTCTTCATACGTGGCCAGCCCATCTTAGGCGGGATTTTGTAACCATGACTTCAATATCCTCGCAGTTAGCTTTTTCAAGGACCGATACGTTTGAGACATGATGGAACAACCGGATTCAACTTCGGATTCAACCGGATCCGAACCGGATTCTTAAGAGTTGTCTAAGGTGTCTCTATTGCAACATGTTTAATGCGTTCATGTGTCGGCGGTACGGTACCCAGATTTCGCTCCCATATAACATGGTGGGGATTATAATTGCTGGGTAGACTGCAAGTTTCGTTTTTGTGCTCAAGCCATGATTGTAGAAAACCCTGTCTTTTAATTTCCAGAATGTTCTTGAGGCGTTGCTAATCCTGTGCTGAATTTCAGAGTCAATATTGGCCTTTTCCGAAATCAAACTGCCTACGAGAAATCAAGACCTAGAGGAAGACCAAAATTGAGATGGGACCATGATATTAGGAAATTGACGGAGATGGCTTGGGCCCGCATAGACAGCAATAGACAATAATGGGCCCAACTACAAAGAGAGTATCTAAATGGGTGAGCCTCACCCATTTAGTGTACTCAAAGTACCGACAGTACTTTGAGTAAAACTGAGCATCGGTGTACATCGGGCAAAAAAATACCCCGTTAAGTTTCTGTTCGTTCTTCTGTATGTGTCTTCGTGTTGGCGGTTGAAATCGCCATGAATGTTTGTAGGCATATGGATTAATATGTGTTTTGGTGCCTGAAAAAGCGACAATAAAGTAGCGAAACGTCGCAAAAACATTGTTTCTTTAAAAAATATAATGGAATCTTTTAAAATATTCATTCTACTCATAAAACTAGCATATTAAGAGGAGGAATGAATCTTTATAAGAAAATATTATCTGCAAAATTAAGCAATAATTCACCACATCATTTTTTTTACTTTTGCACTGGACGCGCGTTTCGCTGACCACGTTAGCATGGATTAAAACTAAACTAGTATCTAGAAATTGAGTAATATCTAAAAATATAGACGCTTTAAATATATTTTCTGGAATTTTAAACTACACCACATGAAATTCATTTTTACTCAATAGAACAATAAATTAAAATCTTCCTAATATAGAGGTTTTTTTACTACCATGTAACTTTTCTAACCTGCTATTTGGTGATGTGGTACTACTAGAGTCAACAGTGTTTAACGCCAAACTGTCACCATCATTAAAACTGGCATCTAGCGCTTGGTCGTTATTGTAAGGATCGACATCCTTAAATTCAAAGTCTTCTATTTCTTGTTGTTGAGGACCCCTATTTATTCCTAAAATATGTATAAGTATTTAGTAAAAAACTATAAGTTAGACAATTTAGAGTATTGTCTAAATTTTGTCGAACTATATACATTCACCGGCACGAAAAACGGTCAATTTAAATTTTTTATGTATTTTAAAGTTTAATACGAGTGGGAAACCGCTGGGGAAGTTGGTGTACAAAAAGGGGGAAGTATGCGAGGAAGTACGGGAAGTATGGAAGAAGTAGGGGAAGTATAGAGGAAGTTTAGGAAGTATTGAGGAAGTGCGAGGAAGTACGGGGAAGTATGACGAAATATCGGGGAATTATTAAGGAAGTATGAAGGAAGTCCGGTAGAGTTCAAGAGAATTGTTAGAAATTAAAAAAAAAACAGAAGGATTTCCTTATATAGAATATAGTTGATCATAGAATCTGATCCCTACTTGAGCTAGTTGAGCTTAGAAGCTTTTTAAGTTGGTATTTAATTTTTTTTGTCTATGGTTTTCGAATATTTTTTACAATTTGCAACATTGTGGTTTCGACTATAATAGGCAGCAATTCTCTCGCGTTTGTCTTCGAGTTTTGTTTTAAAAGTGAATATTTTAGGAATTTCACAAAGCGCCAGCTTATTGTTTGTCAGTATATTGTATGGATAATACTTTTACATACAGAGATGTTTTACAAAGATGGAAATATTTAGAGCAGGAAGCTAATTGGTATGGAATAAAAATATTAGGTTTCTCTTCAGATGGCAATACGTGACTTTTGTAACTTTATTTTCGACGAGTCAGTTGACGAAAATGATGTCGAAAGGACTTCTATAATAAATTTGGAGCTAATGTGGGTGGATCAAATTTTAAAGATTAATCGGGATTGGGATGTTTTTTTAATGCAACACCCTGTATTTTATTGTATTTTGGCTTCCTTTTTGATCACTTTACTAGACTGCATATAAAGTGATTAAAAAGGAAGCCAAAAATGCAATAATATACAGGGTGTTCCATTTAAAAAAATCATCTTGACCTACTTTTTTGAGCCACCCTGCAGAAGTTAAAATATTTTCCTGTAATACATCCTAATACATAGTTTAGGTTTGCCCTTAAACAAAATTCATAACTTTTTTATTATAGGAGCTATAAATGCTCGACGCACTATTGCCGGACCCTGTATAGGCAGGATAACTGATAATCTAGTGAATACAAAATACGAATTACAGTTAAGTAAGGGGCATTTAAATGGCCAAAAATCTAATGCTGGAAGTACATACTCGCTGAGGCGACCCGACATAAAAGACAGTCCTAGCCAATAACAATGTAGATATCGTTAATTTTTAGTCGCGCCTCGGGTCGCCTCGGCGAGTGTATACTTCCACCATTAAGGCGCGTTCTCACGACTCGTGTACTTGACAAACATTTGTAATTGGTATACAGGGTATACAGGTGCGTCGGGCATCTATACGGAATTTTTAAGTTATTTATTAAAGGAGCTACGCCGCACTCCCGCCAGACCCTGTATGCCAATAAAAAATACTTGCCAAGTACACGTGAGAATGCGCCTTTAGATGTCGACGAAAAATATTTTTTTATGGTCCTATAAATTTCCTTAGCAACGACTCTTAAAAACGATTTATTTAAAATTAGTAATTAGTAGATACGACAAAGTCAAAATAAAAAATATTTATAAAACGTCAAAAAAAATTGATTTGATTACATATTTTTATTCGAGTTTATTTTTGTATTTATGTAAGTAATATTTTGTAATTAAAGAATATATTTTTGAACAGAATTTGATTCAATGTATTCGTTTTATGATTATTAAAAACTAACTAAGCATTTTAGGGCATACGAACTTTTTTACTTATTTTTATCTGCAAAATATGCTTCAAAGTTTCCGGAATACAATTCGGACCACCTTGTATATTATTCGTTATATTATTTGAACGCCTGTAAACAATGAAATTTTCGCTATCATTTAGGGTTTTTTTATAACGCTGGCTGTTTTTGGTAGCTGATTCTAAAGTGGATTAATAGAGATATATTTTAAATTACATACCTTGGTTTAACGGGGAAGTAGTAAGGAAGTACGGGGAAGTATTAAGGATGTACGGGGATATATTGAGGATGTATGGGGAAATATGAGGAAGTATGAGGAAGTATTGAGGATGTAAAGGAAGTATTAAAAGGGATAGAAGGAAGTAAAAAGGATGTAAAGGAAGTCTCAGGGATGTTATTTGATTTTATAGTATTTCTTTCTAAATTAAGAATGAAATCTATCAATTATACGAAGGAAAACAAAATATTGATATTTGGGTGATAGTTTGAAACACACTGTGGAATATGTTAACAAAGCATGAAATTTAAAAGATCATTGTGTCATCTAGGTACACCTTTTCTCGATAGTTTGTTTTTGATTCTTCTCAATAGTTTTGTTTTTAATGGAGATATTCGCTTTTGAATAAGACAGTAACGATTTACACCATTTTTAACACTGATTTTGGGTCCTCATCAACACACTTATAAAATAGTGTTTATTGTTTTTGTAATGTCTCTGTCATTGAGAAGTCATATTATTTTTTATTGACTTTTACCCCAATAGAGATGGTTTTAAGCGAGGTTTTAAGTTCTGATGTATCGGCTATTGCTGCTTTAATTGATCATAGAAGAGATCAAATTTTGGACTTAAAACCATATCTGGTAAAATAATTACCCAACAAATATTAATAATATGATTTTTCAAAGACAGTGGTATTACAGAAATCATAAACACTATTTTGTCTGTTGACTAGGACCAAAAGCAAAGGCATAGTTTTAATGTGAAAAATACGAAAAATGTTGGTGTCTTTTTCAAAAGCGAATATTTTCATAAATTATAGTTCTATTGAAATGAATAACAACACAAAATATCGAAAAAATATACACCTAGATGATAAAAATATTTTTAAATTTTTTGCTTTTTAACATACTCCACAGGGTGTTTCAAACTTTTACAAAAAATTCAACATTTTGTTTTTCCTCGTATAATTGACAGATGACAACACTTTTAATTTAGAAAGATATACTAGTAAGACAAATAATTTAGCTAGATATTGCTTTAAATATCATAAAAATCGACTTAGCGGAACAAAATATACTTATTAAACTTTAAAATATATCCAAACATTAAGTTCCCCGCAGATTAAGTTCCCCGCACATTAAGTTTCGTGCAGGTGAGTGCAGATTAGATAGAAAACATATACAAGTATAGGGTATACAGTGTATTTCAACAAACATGTGCCACCTATCGTAGGGAGATTCCTCACGTAAAAATAAGACTTATTTTTCATATCAACATAGGTCCGATTCTGCTTTGTTTCGTAACTACAGGGTGTTAAAGTCTTAATAATCTTTCGATTTATTATAATTTTCTTCCAAGTACTTTTAGTGGTTCTTTTGTTCGTAATTTTTGGTGTTATTAAATTTTGTAAATATTCAAAGTCGGGCCTGGTCATTCTTGTAAAGTTTTTGAACTGATCATAGCCTTCCTCAGACACTAAGTTGTTGCAATAAATTATACCGATTTCTAAAAATTAAGCTGTGCACTTCATTCGTCGAAAAATAAGTTTTTAATTTGAACAGAGCCGAGAGACGAACGAATGCCGTGCGCGCTTCCTAAAGTTTAAATGCACCATTACATATATTAATGCTAAAAAAGTGTCAATAAATTTATGAGGGACATGCATATGGGTTATCACTGGAATATTTTTCAAAAAAAAAACATGTGCGCCACTGACTTTTTTTCTTTTGACATCCAAATTGTAGAGGTTCCCGGTGGCGTAAAGGTACAGGCTCTCATCTATCAATCTAAAGGTAGTGGGTTCGAATCCTACACCCGGTATTTCATCTGCCGACTAGTTTCATTAAAATAAAAATAGTTTGGGTACCTAGGACGGCTCAGCCTTAAATGAGCACTTGGGATTCACAATCTTATAGGCGGATGAAGCGCAGTGCTAACCACATTACCTTCCTTGTATACCGAACGGCTTTAGCATTGCAAGCTGTACCACTGTACCTTGCTACTCCCAAGGCGTTAAACGTTATATATGGGAGCATTATTATTACAGTACATCTGCTGGATCTGTGTCTATGAAAGGAATGCGGGCAAAAAACATTTAAATAAACAGCAATATATTTTATACGTCGATTTTACGAGTGCGTCACCGCAAATTGCTCCGCCCACTCACTTTATTGGCTACTTGCAAATTTGTCGAATTTTTATTGATGGGACGCGTCGTCTAATTTTTTACGAAAAACATCGAGAAAATATCGTTTCCTCTCTCACGGATACCCCGGAGCTACAGAACGGACAAACGTACTGTATATCAAAATTGTGTAGGCCATTTAATGCCAATTAAAAGTTATCTCTTGATATTTTGTCCAGTTCGGCCTCCTTGATGAGATAAACGCAATTTTATTAATCACAATCTAATAATAAATTTAATAATATATTAAAATAAAAATAAAATTAATAAATTATATATTTCACCTAATTTATTATTAAATATTATTACTATTAGTTATTATTACTATTACTCAACATACAGCAGTTTCAAATAAAAAAATAATGATATTTAAGATAATTACAAAAAACCTAATTTTTAAAACATTTAACATCCTGTAACTCTAAAACTATGCATTTCCACCCATGTTTATAGGACATTTTTTTCGTATTTTTTGATGAGCAATCAATGAGTACTTATTTAAAACTTTCGCAAGTCAATGATTAAAATATTTAAAGGTTGCTATTGACTTGGATCAAGGCTGTAGCTACGAAGCACCCTGTAGCTACGAAGCAAAACAGAATCGGACCTATATTGATATGAAAAATAAATCCTATTTTTACGTGAGGAATCTCCCCACGAGGGATGGCACATGTTTTTTGAAACACCCTGTATAAATGTTGCAGGATTTTTTTATAAATATTTTTAAAAATAACTGAGAGAGTATCACGTAAGTAACTCCAGATATCACAGTTAATACCCAAATAAGTTGTTTTTATACAAAGAAATTAAAAAAAAAATGTTAAATTAGTTAGAGAATTATGTATGTTTCAATATTAATTTATACCTGCTGATGCACTAGAAAGCCCTGAGAACGTTGATAGTCCTTTTCCAACAAGTTTACCAACTCCACCCAAAATAGTTGGCAAAAACATGGCTATCAATATGGATTTTATAAATTGGGCGCCTATAAATACTGGCAACAGCATTTTCTTTAGGAAGAAAGCCAGCATTCCCATTCCAAAGCCAGCTAGAAATGAGCTTTTTCCTGATGCGTCTGAAATAAATAATAAAATCTATTAATATTACTCCAACTAAGGCTTATTCAAATTGATGAATCTTGTTAAATTAGGTTCTGATAATAAAAAAATGTTAAAAAAAATATTATGTTGTTAAATTATATTATTAGGTATACAAATTTAATAAAATGCATATGAATTTTATTAAAGTATTAAACTTCATATTTTTTATAATACCGGGTGCGTTTCAAAAGTTGCTCACCCCTATAACCCAAGTAGCATAGGAAGGAGAAAAAACTATTGACCACGGAAAATTAACCTCTATTTGGAATTTTACTTATACTTAACTTAATAAATTTCTTGTAGGGAATAAAGTGCGAGAAATCTAAAAATAAGGTCGTAAACTAGTTAATAATAACCTAAAATTATGCCTTTGAAAAGTAGCAAAGTTGGAGTTAGCTGGCATTGTTAAAATCTAGTTACTGATAACCTATTGAGGGCATTCAGACTACAGGGACTTAAAGTAGGTCAAATGTTACTTTATTATAACCTCAAATTTGTCTCGGGGGTCGAAGCACAGAATATCTAGCTACGCAACAGAAAAATACTCGAAATGAAAGAGCTAAAATTGCACAAATGAAATACTAGATGGCGCGACAATATCATAATCAGAATATAATTGGAAATTTTCAATTTTCGGTTTTGGATCGACGACACATCGACGGCCTTGAAGCTCGGCTAAATATGCACAGTTGCCAGATTCAAAAAGACTTTAATTGGCATCCCATTCTTTTTCTGGTGTATAAAAATTTCTTCCTATTCTTCGTTTCTTATCAGATACACTTATATTAATTATTCGTTTGGCTTTTAAAATAGTTTTAGGTTTAAGTATATTATTAGAAAACATATGCTCACAAAATACATTTTTAATATATGTACACTACTTTATTATGTTAACTAAGAAAATAACTTTAATTACCTTTAAAATTAATAATATACAGGGCGATTGATAGTGATATTTATTAATGCTGAAACGTTAGTAATGAAATATACGTTTAATAATAATGGAAATAATTAATAAATTATTTCCATTAAAAGATTTCCAATCCAGTATAAAAAATGTTAATTGACTAAAAAAATATTATAATAACAAATTTCTTCTGTTTGCTACGTTATTTATATAGACCTAGGTAGATTTTAAAAAGTGACACAGGTACAATTAATAATATATTAGTTCGGCATAAAAGTTGCTGTCACGCAACGTACAATAAATTAAAATTCGTAAAATAAATTAAAATTATTAATTAAACAAATCTTTATAAAGAAACGCAAGTATACCAAATTTTGGCCCAATCGAACTCCAGGAAATGATATCATAATATTTCTTCATGGTACCATAATATTGCAATGTCAGAAAAAATACGCAAGTACAATCAAATATGAGCCCAATCGAACGTCAGAAAGTGGTATCATAATATGGTACTATAGAAGGTACCACTTTATATGCATTATAGTACCATCATATTACAATGTCACCGAACACACGTAGTATACAAAGTTTAAGATCAATCGAACGTCAGAAAGTGGTATCATAATATGGTACTATGGAAGGTACCACTTTATATGCATTATAGTAGCATCATATTACAATGTCGCCGAACACACGTAGTATACAAAGTTTAGGATCAATCGAACGCCAGGAAATGGTATCGTAATATGGTACTACATTATGGTACCTCTTGATGTACTTCATGGTACCATAATATTGCAATGTCATCAAAAATACGCAAGTATATTCAAATATGAGCCCAATCGAACGTCAGGAAGTGGTATCGTAATATGGCACTATATTAAGGTACCAGTTTATATGCATCATAGTACCATCATATTACAATGTCACCGAAAATACTTACTATACCAAAGTATAAGTCCAATCGAACGCCAGGAAATTCAATTACAATCAAACGTCACAAAGTGATTGTAATTCAGCTCGTAAGATTTAACTCCAACCAACATGGCAAGTTAAATACCTAAAAGTTTGAAAAAAGAGCTCTGATCTATTTTAATATATTTAAATGATGTAGCAAATTTGAAGGTAGGCTTTATAAGGAAGTATTACAATATGAATTATACAATGGCAACACTACATAAAATTATTTTAAATTTCGTTTGTAGAAAACTGTTTTCTTTTAAATTTATTGCCCTCTATTATGTAATAGCTAAACTACCGCATCAAAATATCTGATTTGGAGACAGGCTTTAAAAAGCCTGTCTCCTTTTGATACCTACGATTTTATACGTATAACGAGGAGGCTTCTGTTGCATAGCTAGATATTCTGTGGTCGAAGGCATTGTTTGGTTTTCAAGTTAGGTTAAAATTTAGTTGTTAATAACTTTAAATGAGACCTTATTTGGAGGAGTTCAAATTAGGTTGAAAATTTAATTTATTTCGGCCTCATAAGTCGCTATTATGCTTCGAAGGTAAAAGTGACTTAGTTTTTTGACTTGGAAGAAGGTCAGACATACGACAGGTATAAATTACCTTTTTAATTTCCTCGGGGTGATTTCCGTTTAAAAGTTTTCCAGGGATTGTTACGTCATAGCACATTACCTTGTTCCCACTGGTGGGGAACGAAAGAATATTCAATGCGTTTCTTTTTTATTACTGCCACAATCTTAAACGTGTCCATTATGTACAATAAAACAAAAGTCCTCTGTAATAACACTCACAATCCCAAAACTCAAAACTTTTAAAAATAATAAGCAAAGAAAATTAATTTAGTTTTCTAGTTAGTTAGTGTTCTAGTTTAGGCCAGTTCGGTAATTGCATCGGCCAGCAAAAGGATAAAAATTTGACATGTCACGTGACTCTCAATAAAGATTCTCATTTTAGGACACATGATTACTGTCAAAAGTTAGTCGGATTCCTTAAAAAATTCACAGATTTTGCAACATGCGCAACCATCATAGGCGTATTGAAAATACCAGACACAAAAGTCGGCGGTGGTCAGCAATCCCTGTTTTTTACATTTTATATTAACTTGTGACGTCATTTGGAAAAGCTCAATAGAAATATAAAAGCACTAAAGCTTGTTTGGAAAGCAATTTGACATTCGTGACGTCAGCACTCCGGCAGTCTAACGTATCGCTAATTGCCATTCGCAAATATATTCCAGATACGTATAGTGATATTGAATTAGTATTTTGATATTTGATTTTTTATCGTAATGGCTTTTTATAAAAGTGAAGAATTTAGTAAGAAAAATATTAATGATGGAGATGAACGTGTACGGATTCATGAATGGTCACGATCATGGTCACGACACTATAGAAATGTGAGGTATGTATGTATACATAGAATTAATGGCATTAATTTGCAATAGCACCTCGACCCCACAGTTCCATTATGGAGCCAGATTAAACCAATCAGAATGAGTATTATGTTACCGTAAAAGCCCGAATATTGGTTGAGCTCGAAATATGCAAAAAAGGTCACTTTAGGTTAAGTTTAGATTAGGCCTATATTTTTATTAATGCAAAACCAACTAAAACCTAATTCTAATCTAACCTAAACTCACACTCTTTTTTGCATATTTCGAGCTATTACCTGGGTATTTCTAGGTTTAACCAATATTCGAACTTACGGTGTAAATTTATGGACCGTCCATAAATTTAAATTCGCCGTACAAAAATAAGTAATAGTTACTGCAGATAAAATAAATTAAAATATAGTTCCATGATAATTTAGTTTGGAGCTTCTTTTCATCATACCTAGTAAAAACCCGTCACAACCACTACTCATAGTATGTATACCTATGTATTTTTAAACATCATTATGAGATTTGAGTCATATGTGCCCATAATATGAGTAGCGGTATTGACGGTTTTTGTTATGATGAAAATGTTGTGTGATATGAAAAAGCAACAAAATATATTATTTATTGCAGCAACTATACCTAGTTTACATTCAGTATGTTCAATTAATATAGAACATTATAGCTATGTGTGATTTTAAAAATTTGCTACCATTATATTTTGATAGTTGAGTTTTTGAAATTATTTGTTAGCTTCTTAAACAAAACAGACCCATAATAATTCAAATCTTTATCATCCAAGACTTCCAAGAATTATAAAGTAATCTCGTCAAAAATTTTTAAAATTATTGCATGCCTTAAATGTTTGCAAAGTTAACAAAATATGTCTTTGATTACCTGCAATTAATATATTTGGTCCAATTTATCAGTTCTGCATCACATCCGAAATTCAGATTGAGTGTGACACAACGAAGACTCAATGTGCAACGTGAACGACAAAAAATAGCAAGTAAAAAAAATTGTAAAGTCTTAATTACTAATTACACAGTCGTTCTCTCGAGTTCTCCTGCCTAAAATCTATATTGCCTTCTCTAAGATTTTAAATATAAATGATTGAAACTCATACAAGTTTACCACAATTAAATTATTAAATTAATTATTAAATCCATAATTATATTAAAATATAACACTTACGAAGTTACTAAATATTAACTGTTGCTACTTAATCATTTAATAATTCTGATAAAAACACGCTTGATTATTTATTTTAGAAATCATACGGGCTATAATCATTAATATGACTTTATTAACAATACTTAAATCAAAATTTATTTGAAGGAATGCTACTGTATTACAATAATTGTAAAACAAGTATGTAATAATAACTCGGAATAATTATTAAAAACTGCTCATCATTTTTATAGATGTCGGCGTCTTGTCTCTATTATTTTATTAGCCGTTTAGCTATAGTTTGATTTCAGATAATGCAGATTTTAATGTGCCATTTGTGTTTTTTTATTGGAATTATTATTTTTAGCATATTTGGTATACTCTATGAAGTTATTTTTAAGTGCTCCTGTCTATTTTTTAATTATTAAAGTGCCTTTAGATACAATTAAAATTAATTAATTGGTGTATAGTATTTGTATCATGGGTTTGTTTATTTTTTATGAAATGATTTTTTTTCCTATTAAAATAAACATAGCTTACTAAATCACTAGCTA